CAAGTAAATTATGATTGTATGAGATGATTTGAGATTTATATTTTACCAGACCATAAAGTGTAAACAGTTATACGTATGATTAGACCTCTCTGGGAAAAGTAGCTCAGTTCTGTCATTGTCAAGAAAGAGACACCAAAAGAAAGAGAAGAGGGTTAGATCATGACTGTTTTTGTTCTAGGATCACTGCCACAGTCAAATGATGGAAAAGTATATTGTACTGGTGATGGACTAAGTAACAAGATGCTTCACTTGCTAATATCATGAAATAGTGGGACAGAAAGTTTGTGTAAAGACATGAAATTTTAGATTGTGAATATTTTATTTTCTATAAAATCTTGAGAATTAGGGAAAGCATGGTGTTTCATTACATTGAATGGTGGAGATATATAAACATCTGACACCAAAAAAGTTAATTAATTGTTAGTAATGAAATAGTAAAGTTTCCACAGAGAGCTAGCATTCAGCCAGAGTTAATTAGTAATGCATTATTAAGTTTCCAAAAGGAGTTAGAGATCAGCCTGAATTAATTAGTATTGGGTAGTAAATAACCAGAATAAGTAAATGAAAATTGTTTTGTTGGAGTTTGACACTTTTTGCAAAATTAATTGTAAATCATTTTGATAAACCATCAGTGAGTTTGGTAAGTACATAGTTTTATGGAGTTTTGCAATTTAGATTCAGATTTGTTTGTTTTTTTCAGCCTCCAAAAAAGAAGAAAGGAGGAAAAAAGAGTGGAAAGAAAGGAGGAAAAGGAGGTGCTATCATTGATGGAGTAGCTTTATCTGATATGTCAAAAGAGCAGGTAAAAATCAACTAAGTGTACCAGCTAGTCTTTGCTTATCCTTCTGTTAAAGTTTTTTATTACATAATAAGTTTAACAACTAGGTTTCAATTATTATACTTATTAGGAATTAAAAAGTATGAAATAAGAATATTTACATATTCTTAATTGGTAACCTTTTGGTTTAATTAGCATTTCTATGTATTAAAGATGTTTTTTAAATGCTTTTCTAGACCATTTAGAAACATAGAAAGCCAGATTACTTCACAAAAGCTGTTAAAAAATCAGAAATCAAAATAAAGAGCATTTTCATTTTGATATTTATTCAGTTTCTTAAATACTTTTAAAAGATTTCTATGCAAAAAGTGTGAACTGAATGTTTTGTCTTGTATTTTATGCTACTTTTGAGATAACAGTAACAAGTACAATTTTTCTAAGAAAAAACTCAAAATTATGTTTTTAGTTTAGTGTTTGAAATCAAGAATTCTGAATATATTTAGTTTATTGTATTCTATTTGTAAAACAATTCAGTCATTTGAAAGAGCATATTTGTATATATTATGTAAATACCTGTAGATTGAAGAACATGTGATGAGACTTAGAGAAGAACTAGACAGAGAAAGAGAAGAAAGGAACTTTTTTCAACTTGAGAGAGATAAATTACACACATTCTGGGAGGTAACAACACATCAGCTTGAAGAGAAACAAGCAGAATTACGTGTTAAAGATAGAGAACTAGAGGAGGCTGAAGAAAGGCATCAAGTTGAAATAAAGGTATACCCAGTCATAGGTTATATAACTTATAGTATCTCTTGTGTGTTATAGATCTACAACATTATAAACACAATTTCTTAATTACACAACTTTTACTCTACAACATTATAAACACTATTTTTCAATTACATAACTTTTACTCTGTGTTTTGTGTTATAGATCTATGGCATTATAAACACACCATCTTAATTACATAACTTCTACTTTATGTTTTGTGTTACAGATCTACAACATTATAAACACTATTTGTTAATTACACAACTTTTACTGTGTGTGTGATGTGTTATAGATCTACAGCATTATAAACACTATTTGTTAATTACACAACTTTTACCGTGTGTGATGTGTTATAGATCTACAGCATTATAAACACTATTTCTTAATTACATAACTTTTACTGTATGTTTATTGTGTTATAGATCTACAGCATTATAAACACTATATCTTAATTACATAACTTTTACTGTGTGTTTATTGTGTTATAGATCTACAGCATTATAAACACTATTTCTTAATTACATAACTTTTACTGTGTGTTTATTGTGTTATAGATCTACAGCATTATAAACACTATTTCTTAATTACATAACTTTTACTGTGTGTTTATTGTGTTATAGATTTACAGCATTATAAACACTCTTTCTTAATGACACAACTTCTACAGTGTGTTTTCGGTGCTCGAAGTGGAGAGTAACGTATGGGTATGCATACTCCCACTTCTCTGATTTGGCATTTTGCATATCCCACTTCTTGTGGATCTTTAAAGAATTCCCAACAATGGAAAACACTATCATCATTTTATGCATGAGTGTAGCTCCACTTCCAATTAGGTATTTCTCTCCTCTCACAAGATTAGCTATTCTCATTCATTGCTGCCCTCTATACGTGAACTTTGTTATTACGCATGCCACAAGTCTTCTGCACTCCCCTATTGGAATCAAATGACTCCAACATATCTCTAATGCAAATCATCATGCATCACCTATCCACCAATAGGAGTATAGTACACTCACATGACTCCATCTATATGCCTTTACTGTACTATCACTTCTCGTTTGGCTGTGCTTGCACTAGGATGTCTTTCTTTTTTTATCTGGTTTCGTGTTTGAGATCATATTTTCTTGAAGTGGTTCAATTTAATTTCAAATGTCAGTTGTTTTTTTGACATTATTTAAATTCACTTACCCTTATTCTAGTCGCATTTCTTATTTACTTCAAATGCTTTTGTCAACTACAACACCATGAATTTTGAAGTTAATGTCACCACACAGGCTTCAGGCACTGGTGACCTGACAGGAGATTTGTCTACATTTATTCAGAGGGAGATTGAACATTATATGGGTCAACCTTTATCTCCAGACATGGCTCCTCTTTCTCCTGAACCTGTGGAACCTGATCAGGTTGTCAGGACTTTTATTACCTGCTTCCACCTCCTGATTTTTCTCTGCTTTCCCATACCCTCCCTGAGGTTTCTGTTCAGCCAATCAGTGTTTTTTCGGACTATTTCTCATGTATGTGATGTTTTATCCCTTGCTCCTATATCTTATGACCCACATCCTTTGTTATTACGTGAACAGACTTCCCAACCCTATTTTGTGTTTCTCCCATCCCTTCTCATCTCAGTTGGGTGATGGTGATAGTATGCCTCGTACCCCACAGGCTTTGGAGCAGTTGACCCTCGCATTTCATAGGGTGGACTGTCCATATCTTGACCAACAGTTGTTGAGTTCGGTTTTGCCCATTTGGCCCCGAATCTCCGTCTTACCCTCACAACCCTTTTGTGGTCCCTTTTCATAATCCATTTCCTATCTGAGGCTCTTCACAGAAATTCTGAGGGTTTTCTGGGGACACCCTCTCCCCCTTACATTGGCTTGTTTATCGTCTTTGGCTTTACAAACGTGATATCTTTGTTGTTGGGACCTTTTAGGTTATGATGCTGTTTTATCTCCAACCTGTTTACCATTTCCTTATCTCCACGATTTACATATGGTTCTGTTTTTAAGATGTTTTGTCTTTGTTATGGTCCCAGAATCATTGAAATCTCGGGTAGCATCCTCCCAGCAACAATCTACCATTTCCCATCTAGTTTCCTGTTTATCTTAATCGAAGCCAAGTATGGCACCTATTTCAGTTTTCCGTCCTTCCCATCCCTTACCTGTCTTTCCTTCTCTCAGTGCCACAGCTCATAGTTTTTCTCGATTATGCACGATACGCCACCAACAGTTCTGGTGACTACCTGGTGGGTTCAGGCTCGGTGGGAGCTCACCTTGCAGCTTTCGTTCATTGATGGTGCCCTTTCATCTCAGATGTTTGGGTTCTTCAGGTTTTGTCAGAGGGATTCGCAATTCTGTTTCTTGCCCCACCTCCCTTGTCCCAGGTACCTCCTTCCTTCCGTTCTCCAAGGGATCCAGTAACTTGCAAGCATCTATCAGAGGCAGTACAGGACCTCCTCACAGGTTATAGAACCTGTTCCACATCACTCACCATGGTTTTACTCCAATGTGTTTGTTGTTCTCAAAAAGACCAGGGACTGGAGGCCTGTCATTGATCTGTCCTGTCTCAATCGCTTTGTTCACCTCCCATATTTCACCATGGAGACTTACCTCAATCGTTGATGGGCTTTTTCTCCAGGTCTGTGGATGACCAAGATGGACGTCTCCAATGCCTATCTGCATATTCCCATCTCAAAATGGTCTCGTCCTTATCTTCAGGTTCATCCATTGAGGAGTGGTATACCAAATTTGCACCCTACCCTTTGGGCTGGCTTCAACTCTATATGATTTCTTTTGTGTGGTACAAGCTTTTGCTCTTCATCTTCACTGGATACTTCTGGCCCATTTCGAACAGGAGTCAGACTATCATACTCATCAACTCCTTCTCAAAGCTGCTCGGGCAGGCTGGTTGATCAAATTGGAGAAGTCCTACCCAATACCTTGTATATTTCGGTGTCTTTTTCAACACTTACGTTAATCAGGCCCAACCTTCCTCTCTCAGACTCAATTCTATGGAATTGTCAGTTTACCATGCCTTGTCTGCTCCCTATTTTTCTGCATGCAAGGTTCTATTCTTTTTTGGGATGTGGTCTTATATGACACCACACATGTATTTTCTTCAGTGGATTCTGCATGATTAAAGGAACCTTACTTGGGATCTCTTAGATGCTCCTGTGACCCTTCCTCCTATCCTATTAGACAATTTCCTTTGGTGGTTGGACAAGAATCACACATCGGCGGGTGTCCCATTTCCTCCTCCTTGTCTGGACTTACATGTTTACGGATGCATCCCTTCAGGGCTGGGGTGCATGGGTCAATCACCAGGAGGTTTTGGGTTGTTGATCTTTAGATGAACAATCTTTACATATCAATGTCCTAGAGCTCCTAGTTATTCATCAGACTTTGGATCACTTTCTTCCCATTGCCAAACATTGTCTGGTAATGATCCATTCCCACAATTCCATAGTGATGGCTTATATCAATCACTATCAACTTTACACGCACACTTTAACACCATACCTGTCCTATCCTTTATCTGGATTGTTCCTTCCTCCCCAAAACTTTGGCGGCTCATGAGAATAACTCATCCTTTTCGTCTACTTCCCTACCCTCTATTTCTCATCTCTACCTCTGTTCTGATCTGGATATACTTCTATGTCTTTTGCATGCCCTTCGTTGTTATATTACTCGAATGGCTTTCTTCCGTGGTTACTGTTCCTGTCTCCTTATCCCTTGGCAGCCCTCTTCATTTAGGGATCTCTCCCCTTTTACACTCACCAAATGGGTTCATTGTTTGATCCATTTGGCTTATTCCTTCTTGTCCCCTCCCCAGCATACTGTCTTTGTTTGTATTGTGTTACCACTCAACAAATCAGACACCTCACCTTCTCCCTCGCTTCTTGTCTTCATCGACCTCTGGAGGAAATCCTAAGATTGGGCATTTGAACCAAATGTAACACGTTCCTCTCCAATTATTTACATCATATCGTGGTTTCGGGTTCCTGGGGTTTTTGCCTTCCACCTGTAGCTACATTCCAATCTTCAGTGCAACTCTGACTTGGGTAAATCTTTCTTTCAGGGGCCCAGTCTTCATACCTTCATTACTTGGATCCCACTCTGTGGCGAGTGGTGCCTGACCAGGTATTCTTTAACTCTAAATCCACTGTACACCATGTTGAATAGCACTTTCTTTCCATGGCTCCACATACTCACCTTTGAGATGGTGTGTTTCACAAGATCGCTTGTAGGTGAATAACCTCAAGATATTTGCTTCATAAGTTGGCCTGTTCCAGACCATACGACCCATAGACTTCATGGGTAAAGCAGAGGGGGATAGCTGTCCATCCCTGCTATGCCTTGATTGAATAAATTGGTATGGTTTGCTTTTCAAAATAGGGTTTTGTGATCACCCATTGCACTGTCTCTGGTGTTTACATTACTCCGGGCTCTCCTATGCATTCTTACCCTTCTTTCTTCTAGTGGAGTATGGGAGTCCTTACCACTTATCAGTTCCAAGCCGCTGGGGTGGTTGACCATGGAGGTACCCAAGTGGATGAGTTCCGCATAAGATGGCTATAACCATTGAGTTCAGAGTAGGGTGTTGGTGTTCTACCAGTGTATATGACATAATATCCTCCAATGTGCGATTAAACATACAATGGAGTGAGACGTCAAAATGCAGTTCACCCCTTGATTGGGAGCCCTCTTGCATGGATGTTGGTACAATGCAGGCTGGTTTTGGTTTTCAAGTGAACCAATCAACATAAGTCCTCGCACAGGTTTCGGGTTGTCTATCTGCCTCCCACAATTCCTCCTCCTGTGTTGTGGGTCACAGTTGAGATACGTGGGACTATTCCAGTTCTATCCTTGGCTCTCTCTTGTTCTTTCTTGTTACATGGATGTTATTCACGGTCAAAGAAGTTTATTGCATATGATAGACTTCCTTTCGATACTGGATCTAACATTCCTGGATTGATAGCTCAGAGCTCATCCTGTGTAATACCCAGGAATCGCAGTAGTTCTTGGGTTTGAGGTGAAGATGGTATGATCCTCATCGTATCTTTGCGCACATGTTGGTACCCTGCGAGGAGGTTTTGGATGTAGTTGACTTGCCATCCTCATTTGTCCACACTTTATTCTTGTGGGATTGAGTTACTATATCTTTCTGTGGTTAAGATCACTTTCTCTTCCACAAGGATGTGCTCCTCTCACTTTCCATCCTGATTTTTACACATTCCTCAACTGGGCGAAGAGATGTGGTTCCCCTCTCCATGCACAGGGGTATCCTTCTGGCACTTTCGGGGTACATCTTTTCTTCCCTCACACCAGCCCCTCTTCCTCTTCAATGTGGTATTCTAGCTAATCTTGTGAGAAGAGAGAAGTACTGTATCGGAAGTTATAATTTTCCTATACTGAAAATGGATTTCCGATGGGTACTTCCCTACACTTCCCACCCTTTCTCCCCACTCACTTCCGGTGCTTTCATCATCTGCCAAACTTTGAAGTGATAGTTCGGTAGAAGCACATAAAGGGAGTCAGATGTGTCACGTGAGTGTACTGTGCTTCTATTGGTGGACAAAGGATGCATGATGATTTGCATGTGAGACACGTTGGAATCACTTGATTCCAATGGGGGGGGGGTGGTGGAAGGCTTGTGACATGGGTAATAAGAAGTTTGCATATAAAGGGCAGCAATAAACAAGAATAGCTAATCTTGTGAGTGAAAGGAAGTACCTATGAGAAATACATTTTCAGGATAGGAAAATTATAACTTCTGAATTCCCACTTCAAGCACTGGCATTTTGTGTTTTAGATCTACAGCATTATAAACACTTTCCTACTTACATAAGTTGTATTGTGTTTTTTTTTGTCTGTTATATATCTAAACATTGTAAATGTATTTTTTGACATATAGGTTTATAAACAGAAGGTGAAGCACCTAATGTATGAACATCAACAGAATCTTGTTCAGCAACTGTCAGATAATTCAACCTTAACCAAGTTAAAAGACGAACAATACAGACAAGATGAGAATGTTTTGAGAGGAGACAAAAGGGACCTGAAAATGGAGTTGAGAGAGCAAGTGCTTTCTTATGAAAATTTAATCAAAACTCTAAAATTGGTATGTTGAACCAAAGAGAAATGATTAATATACAAGTTAAATGTTGTAGACCTAGTTTTATTTGTTTAATAGAAAGGAGTTTATATTTGTAAGTTGTAGGGAAGTTACTAAGATCTTATGCTTGAAAGTAATTCAAAAAAGCTAAATTATTTCTAACAAAATTTTATGATAGGTAGTAACCGGAAACAACAACATTTGGATATAATTTTCCAGTAGTTTTATTTAAAAGGATAACTCTCAGCTTTTGTTTGTAAACAATTATCATCTATGCTATTTGAGTAAACTATTATAGAATTTGCCCTTTCACTATGTTCCACATCTCTAAAACATTAGTTTTTAATTTTACTGATTTATCTTGTAATTTTCAACACTTTGCTGTTCTTTCTCTATTTATAAGGTCAAGAGTCTGTGTGCAAGTTTACTATAGTTTTGACTAATAACCAACTTAGATCTTGTTCCTACAATGTATATCTGTATATTTCCTGGCTACCCCCCAGTGGCACAGCGGTATGTCTGTGGACTTACAATGCTAGAAACCGGGTTTTGACACCCGTGGTGGGCAGAGCACAGATAGCCCATTCTGTAGCTTTGTGTTTAATTTCAAACAACAACAATTTCCTGCCTAGCTTATCCTGAATTCCAGCCCTTAAGTTGTCAGACTTATCTTGCTTATCACTTAAAATTCTCTTTATTCATCATATGAATTAGTTTCAGTATTCCTTCTCTTTTTAAGAATGACATGCTGATTTTTTCTTATGATAAAATAACTTATGTATCATGTTTCTCTACGACAAGCAAGATTTGGAGGAAATTTTGCACTTTATGAATTCTTTGCTTTTTATTACACTTAACCTTTAATTTCCTTACCTATGTTCCAACAGCAAATAGCAGGGGTTTATCAACCTTGCATAGAATTGGTAATTGGGATGTGACACCAAAAGGTCTGAAGCTTATCTTGATGTTATACTCTTTTCTTTCTTTGTAAGAAGATAATGTTACAATCCTTGTTTCCATGCTAAAAGAACTTAACAATAAAGATCTGAAGCTGTTAAACTGAGGCATGAAAGTATACAATGATTTTGTTTTTCATACGACATGAGACTTTTCTTTCCTGTGTCTAAAAGACATTTCTGGGACACAGGGATAAAGTTTTCTTTATTAATATTCCTGTATATTTTTAAATGAGTTTGAAGCTGAAGATGTAAAGATCATTTTGATATTTAGTTTTTTGTTTTATATGTTTAAATGAATCTCTTAATCTTTTGATAGAGTATGTTTCTAGGATTTTTCATTTTTGTATGGGATAGAAGAGTTATTTACAGAATCAACATATTCTTGGATGCTTGAATTTTATTCTTTATTTACAAAAAGTTGATTAGTTTTTTATTATTAGAAACATGCAGAGGAAATAAGCAACTTGAGACATGAATTTGAATCCAAGTCTAAGGAGATTGAACATAAATATGAGAAGAAAATGAAAGTCCTAAGAGATGAATTAGAACTTCGCCGTAAATCTGAAATTCATGATATAGAAGAGAGAAAAAATCAACAAATCAATAACTTGATGAAGAACCATGACAAAGCATTCAGTGATATTAAGAATTACTACAATGACATTACCTTGAACAACCTTGCTCTAATCAATACTTTAAAGGTAGTATCAGTATTTGTAATACAATTATTAGTTGATTAAAGTTAGCAGACAGAAAAAATTGTAGAAACTCATAAATAATTTCTTATTATACTTTGTAATTTTTGGCAGCCACAAAGCATGCATTTTCGTAATTTATTTAACTGGAAATGCTGTTCCATATCTATGTAAATGTTTTAATAATCATCATGAAGTTATCTTTATTAACAGAACATGTTTTCTATTTTATATACTGTATTAACATACATGATAAAACGAAGGAGCAACTTGAAAACATGAAGAAGAAGGAAGAAAGGTTAGAAAGGCAGATGCAAGAGATAACCACTGAAAATCGTAGATTGTCAGAACCTCTTCAAAGAGCTAAAGAAGAAGTGCAAGAACTAAAGAGGCAGTTAGTTTCATATGAGAAAGATAAAATATCCTTAGCAGTAAGTACCATAGTAAATAATTAGCAAAACGTATAGGGGTTTCCAAAATAGAATCTATTGTTTACTGAGGTTAATTACACTTTATAAGAACAATATTTCAGATCCAGTGCTGCTAGTGGAGTACTTCTTCCATCATCAGTCATGCTCATTGTGATGGTCATGATTACTTACCATTGCCTGACACAATTATTTCTATTATAACAAGAGCCTATGCTCACTGTGATGGTCATGATTACTCACTGTTGCCTGACACTACTATTACTATTATAACAAGTGTCTATGATCACTGTGATGGTCATGATTACTCACTGTTGCCTGACACTACTATTACTATTATAACAAGTGTCTATGATCACTGTGATGGTCATGATTACTTACCATTGCCTGACACTACTATTTCTATTATAACAAGTGTCTATGCTCACTGTGATGGTCATGATTACTTTCCGTTGCTTGACACTACTATTTCTATTATAACAAGTGTCTATGCTCACTGTGATGGCCATAATTACTTACTGTTGCCTGACACTACTATTTCTATTACATCAATCTACTATGATTGATAGAAAGATCAGTATTTGAACACACATCTCGAGAAACATTTCACAGACTCTCTACTTACATTAATTCAGCTTCCAAGGCAATGTTTAATTAAACTAAAGACACATAAGTTCAGTTCATGTGCATCAGGGAACTTTTCAGTTAAATGGTGTAATAGAATTGCTGTAATTCCAGTTTCTTTCTCTGTCCTCATGAAAATAGTTTCAGATTTGAGTCATGGCTAGAAGTTTGTAAGCCATCATTACCTTTGAATCTCTGTGTGTTATCTTTTAACAGTTCTAGGAGATGTAGTTTCATTGCAGGATTTTTTTTTGTGGTGGCTTGGAAGATTCTCTTTTGTAACTGTGCCTTCTACTTTGCTGATGCTGGTTCTAGATTGAACTTTGGTGAGGCTTTGAAACCCATTGTCATTGTAAATTCTCCACTATGAGGATTTTTAGGTTCCACAACAATTTCACTTAGAAATAATTTTTTTATATTCCTTCAGCAATAAATCTACCCATGGAAACATTGAACTGTTGAAAAGATGGGAAATCACTATGAACAAAATACACAGGTACTAAACATATCACTCATGGTGTCATTAGTATCTTTTGTGACATTAGCATATATAACCCATTCACATGAAGTGTGATCAACCCCCTGTATTCTTATCCATTACATAAATACATTAAAATTCGTCCTAAATGAATGAATGATTGTTTCTTACACAACACTGGAATGCAGATAGTATATAGAAGACTATAGTCACCTTAACCTCTAGTTTTTAGAAGAATCATTATACTTGGATACTTTCATTTATAGTTAATGAAAAATAAAGACAATTATAAATAAAGATTCTAAAATATAACATTTTATTAGATCAAAGATTATAATCTGATAACAATATATTCAGAAATACTACTCAGCTCTCCACAGATCAGGTAGCTGATATCTCACAACACCCAAAATGTTTTTCAGCATGTGTCAAGCCTTTAAACAAAATTTCTATTCCTACACATAATAGTGTGCCAGTCTTTAATAAAACCAGCATTAGACTATACCCCTTCAACAATAGGACAAATCCTCCATGTATAGTACTCCCCTTGAATACTTTGTGTATACCATGAGCTCATTCGGTGTTCTTTTTCAATTAAAAACTGTAGAATTTTTATGCTTATTATTTTTAACTCTTAGTTAAAACTTGAAGTGTTATCTTTCTTTTTTGAGATAGAAAGATACAATAAATAGAGGAATCGTTATATTTTCTTACATTATATTCACTTCTTCTCTTAATTGAACAATGAGATTTTTGAAGCATGTACCAGTCTGTGATATTTTGTATAGAAATATTCCCCATCATCATTAATCTAGTGTTAATTGATCTCAATTTCATCAACACAAAAATTACCAAGAACCATAGACATACCAGACCTATTGCCATTAAAAAAAACATTATAATAATGATACTACAACTTTCCATGAATTCAGTTTAATGGATCTTCTTGAACACAACTTCTCATATCTATGTTTCTGAAACCTCCTGATATCCAGAATCTCCTCTATAGGAGTTGTCTTATTTTTTTTAAATAGCAACATGGTGACTGGAACTACTCAGATGATGAGCAATTTTACTATCATTGTATATCATGTAGTTTGTTTTATCCTACATTCTTCATCTTGAACCCATTACTTATGACCTTCTACTTCTGTAACTTCTGCCGAACATGCATTGTTTTTGGATTACTTTGACCAGCTATTCCCACAACCTGCCTTTCCTTCTGGTTATTCTATTCCAGAAATAAATCAGATAACACCCATCTTTGTGTTTTGTTGTTGTTGTGTTAACTCAATATGTGACATTTGTTATTTTACTCCACTTGTTTTTACTGGCTCTCTGGCAAGCTTCTTGCATCATTTCAACTCATAATTTGTTTTCTTTTCCTCCCTTGTCTGATTGTTGCATTATTGCACATTTTTTTGTCTCAGCTTCATGTTGATTCTCAATTTCTATGTCCTCACTGAACTTAAAACTCCATCTCTGTGGATTGTGGTTGGAATTCTTCCTCTTTTTTGGTGTGATTTTACCCCTTGAATTTCTTTTTCCAGCTTAAGTATATTGGAAGTAGGGCAGGGGTGTTTTCCTGAATGTGTAGCACAGGCCACTCCATACACTAAGAACTGGACCATTCCTGGTTGTACCCAACTAGATGGGTCTTGTATTTATTTTGGGATGCAAGTCTGGGATGATTCATCTGTGCACATGTTTGCATAGCCACACTACACTTACATAATCTTGCTTCTCCTCTGAAATGTACAAGCTGTTGAGCAACCTTTACATTCTTCCCACCCTTGCAACACTTTAGCAACATCATGCAAGAGGTTCCTTGACTGTACTTTACTGCACTACCAGTTGTATTGGATGAACATTCCTGCTGTATTCTACCCTCCTGCCCACCTCATGAGCGATATGCTTCCTGAGTTTTCTCTTTCTTAGAAAATAGTGACAGAAAAGGAAAACTCAATACTTTATATGTACTGGTTTCTTCACTATGTTCTTAATGCAATGTTTTAGTTGTTGAGAGGTGAGTAGTGTTTATGAAGTTAGCTCTTTCCTTTCCCGAAAATGTATTTTGGATAGATACCTCTCCACAGAATTACTCAGCTGTCCTCCCCACTTTTGGTGTGTTCTATTTGCCTCTTCAAGAATGAGCTTTTGGTATACACAAAGTGCTCAAGGGTAGTATTGCACATGGAGGATGTTTTGCCCTCCTGTTGATAGAGAGGTATGGTCCAATTTTGATCGAATCACAGACTAACACAGTATATGCTATTACAAGTAGAGATGAGAGTTTCTTTCAAAGGCTTGGCACTTGTGCAAAGACTTTTCAGTAGTGTTATGAGGTATTAGCTGACTGTTCTGTGAGAGTTGAGTATCTATCTTAAATACAATTTTAGGTAATGATTTTAATATTGTACTAAATGCACTTTTATTGATAGCTCTGTTATTCACTAGACTCTGTTTAATCTAAATTATTTCCATACATTAAAGGTATATAAGGTGGTAATTTATAGGCATGCTTGTGTAGCTGATGGTCTTCAAAAGAATCTAAGCATGAAATTCTATGTCTACATCACATTTATATGAAAAGAGGTTACTTTAATCATAAAATGCTACAAGTTTACACACCTCTCAGAATTCATCATCAAATGTTACAGACTTAATAAATTTGTCAGAATTCAGTGTCCAATGTGTAAACTTAATTGAGTTATTTAGCTCCTAAACCAACAATTGAGAGCTAGTTGAATAGTTTCTGCTGGACTTTTGTAGAAAAAGATTCAGAAGTTAGTATTATAGAAAGTAAGAGGGTAATTTGGAATTAAATATTAATAAATTTTACCCTAAATAAAACATAGAAAAATAGATCCTCTGATTAAAAATACATTTGCTGTACTGATTATCAATAATTCCAAATTTTACAGTTATTTTCAAATTACTTTCTCATTTTGCTTCAGGTTAATTATAAAGCTATACACAGCTGTAAACATTGTCTCCTTTTTAACCTATTCAGAATACCAAAATTCGCCTTAAAAAGATGAATGAAGATTTTAAAGAATCAATGTGGGAGAAAGAAGTTCTTGAACAAAGATTTAGAAAGGTAATAGATTGTTATATGTTTTTAAATTATATAATAAATAAAAGAAAATACCAATATCTTACAAGGTAATTAACCTGAAAGTTTTTCTCCAAAAATATACATCTGTTTTTAATGCACCTTCTTTTTGGCCACTTTCTAGTCAACATTAGTTTTTCCAGATAAATGTTTGAGTTTGATGTAAACATATTTCTTGGAAGTTACAAGTAATCACAAGGGCTTGTCATACCTTAACCTGATAACAGCATATGCTAGAATGTTCTCTTATATTCTTTAACCCCAAATAATTTTCCATGTTAGTCCACTTTCATAAGCTTTACTGCATATTTTCATAGCTTTCTTTACTTTTATTTTGACATTACTGTGTTAAATAGATTGTTCAGTTATGACATTTTCTTAGCTGAATAGTTCCAGAACCTGTAGGGTTTGTTTCTTTGATATTACTGTCATAACATGACTCGTCTAGTAAAACATCTTCATGGCTCAATAGTACTAGAGCCATGTTTTATTTCTGTACCATTAGTGTGTTAAGGAGATTGATCAAGTGTGATATTTCTTTGACTGAATAATACCAGAGCTGTTGGAGTTTGTTTCTTTGATAGTAGTGTGTAAAGGAGATTAGGCAAGTAAGACATCTTCATGGTTGTATAATACCACAGCTGAGGATCTTGTTTCACTGACATTAGTATGTCAGGTAGATTGATCATGTATGATATCTCCATGGCTGAATAGTACAAGAGATGTTGGGGCTTATTTCTTGTTTCACTGAAATTTCTATGTTAAGGAGGTTGATCAAGTTTGACATCTATGGCTGAATAGTACCAGAACTGTGAGTTTTGTTTCTGTAATGTGATATTAGTGTGTTAAGGAGATTGGTCAGGTATGGCTGAATACTACCAAAACTGTGAGTTTTGTTTCTGTAATGTGATATTAGTGTGTTAAGGAGATTAATCCAGTATAACATCTATGACTGAATACTACAGAACTGTGAGTTTTGTTTCTGTAATGTGATATTAGTGTGTTAAGAAGATTGATCAAATGTGACATCTCTTTGGCTACATAGTACCATAGTTGTGGTTTTGCTTTTAACTGTGGGAGATTCAAGGGTTTCACACTTGTAAAGTTACCCTTGATTAGTTTCTTGGTGCAGGTTCATGTCATTGTAACCTGAAATTTGTATTTTTGCAAAATACAATATTTAAGGTTTAAAAAAAGATAAAATTAATTTGTACATATTTTCATTCATAGTACTGTCCTTGTCCTGTATACTTTCAAATTTCTCACATCTTTATCTATTAAAAAATCATTTTACTACATCTATTAATCAACAGAGATTAGTTTTGTTGAAACTCATTGGCTTTTTTTAGCTCTAAATCTAGGGTTACGAGTACTATACAGAAATTAAGATAATTAAGTAAGATAAGTGAGCTTTTAATGATTCAGTGAGACAAAACAAACAAAAACACTGGTTTACAAATAACAAATAATGTTTTTTACAAATGAACATTCAAATTTGATTCTTTAATGAACAGTTTTAATATTACAGAGATTGTGGCCATGTATACCTCAAAAAATGTTTATCTTTGACTTAAAGGTAAGTTTAAAACAGTACATAATAACTCTAAATGGATGTGCAGTTAATCCATCCAATGAGTGTCAACCAGATATTCTCCTTCTTTCTTTCTGTATCAGCTTATGACATCACTTGTTAATGAAAGACTATCTCTCCCTATTAGTTACTAACATCCAAGATTACAGTGTTTAAAAAATGGTATCTTCTGGTAATGTTTCTGAATTTTCTGATCTTCCATCACACTGATTTTGTACAGATTTTTCTGATGTACAGACTACGGTATAATTTATTCAGAGATCTTCGTTGTCTCACTTTCACTTTATAACCTGTCAGCCTGTTCCTTATAGTTCATAGGAGAAACTTTGACATTCTAACAATTTTAAAGGCTTGCTTCTATGCTAATTCCCCTTTGAGTTCTTGTCTAAAGTGACTGAGTATTTCAAGCATGCTCATTATGATCAGGACAGTTTTTGCATTCCTCCTCATCTTCTTTTTTGTAGTGTCATTTGGAAGTTGTTAATTTTTTGTTCTAATTCAGAGCCTGTGTCTCCTGCCCACTCATTTAGGTCATGAGAATTCTAGACTTTTTTAATGTTCTTCTTTCCAATCAGTGTTCATGATTGTCTTCTATATGCTGTTTGTTTCCTATTTCTATTGCTTTTTGTTCAACAATTTCATTAGGAGTACAGCATTTATCTTTGACATATGAGTAGAGTGTTTTCCTTTCTCTTTTTATGTTTTAAAAGCCTTTCATTTTTGTGTTACAAGAGGTTTCATTTACTCAGTTGCATTCTTCAGCCCTATTTCAATATTTTTAAGCTTTAAAAGGACTCAAGGGGCGAAAGTAAAAGTTTAGTTCAAAAAAGATCCATAATTTCAACCCTACAGAGGAATAAGTTCTAGTAATATATCATTGTATAGTTGCAAGCTGAAAGAATAGTAGTCGAACAAGAAGAAAGGGACCTTAAAATGTTTTGGTGATGTGAGTATTGCCAGCCAAAAAAGTCTTCTGAAGAAAAGGCTGCCCTGTTCTCTTAAGAAAAAAAGGTACAAGCAAAAACTGAAGAGAGAAAAAGTGGGATGAAGTACAACTCTTTCCAGAAAAGAAGACTGAAGACAAGACAAAAGAGAATCCTGAGCCAGAAGTTCCCAAAAATAAATGATTAATGTAGGAAAAACACAACCCTAATGGATGAGTTGCTCAAGAGGAAAAAGTAAAGGAAACCTGAAGGTGGAGGAAAAGCACACAGAAGGATATAAAGTATAACCAGTTTGGAAAAATAATCCACAGAAAAGGACTCAAGGGGCGAAAGTAAAAGTTTAGTACAAAAAAGACCCATAATTTCAACCCTACAGAGGAATAAGTTCTAGTAATATATCATTGTACAGTCAACTCACACACAACTGTCATGGAATTTCCTGCACATGCCACAAGCTTTGAACAAACTACCACCCCTACACATGGCTAGGTGTATTGTGCTAGTGCTCATGAGGAATACTGTGTGTGTTGCCTTCTATTGGTGGAGGGATACAGCATTATAACAATTACATAATAGGCTAGCAAAATACATGTAGACATTTATAGTGGTGGTAATTTGTATAAGCCTTGTGCCGTGTGCAGGAATTCCACAACAATTATGTATATGATAATAGCTCTTTGTGGTGCAGAGAGGTAAGTAATGCCTCTGAATTAAGCATTCACAAATTCACAGGAAAACTTGAGACAGTTCTTAAAAACTTTTCAATTAAAAATTAAAATAAAATAAAAAACTGACTGAGACTGGGGAGAACCAATCAGGTCTAAAACTACTTGTGTGTTTCACCACCAGAAGAATAAAACCATCCCGAATCACCTTAGTGAACTACTTTCATGGGATGTTGGAGGCTTCATTTTCAAAGGTTTTACAAAAAATAGCCCCTATTGTTGAAGTAAGGTAAGTATCTATCCAAAATACATTTTCAGGTAAGGAAAATGTTAACATATGATAATTCAATAGTTATTTTTGTGTCCACATTCATGCAAACTAACATAATTTTATCCACAGTGGAATGATATATTAGTTCCTTCCCTTTAAGACTGGCCCAGAATTCAGTTTCACTTCTTCAGAAAACATTTTCAAATGAAAGTAAATATTAAATTTTTAATTTCCAATGGTAACTTTAGAAAGAAGGATAATATTTTTTACATAACTTTTTTGGAACATATTTCAAAAAATACAAATTTACCCCTGAATACAAAATGCTTTTCCTTTTTTCAGTTGTTTTCATGCTGTAAACAAATGTATGACTAGAATCCTAAATATCTTTAACACGTGCAGAGCATTCATTAACTTACCAATAGTTCTCTACTGTCCCACCTTCCACATGACTTATTGCACTTGCAACAGAAGGGTATGATGTATGAGCTATTCTTTCCTGCCATAACCCAGATTTTCTTATTGACAGTCATGCTTGTAACTTTTGCTTCACTGAATTGAGATGAAAAGATTTCCAACAATATCAGAAACTCTACATTTTTGTGGGCTTTACTTACTTGTGCAGGCTGCCTCTTGTGTGCAGGGTGATCTTGTGGCTGCAATGATTTTGTTTCATTCTTCTCTCAGGTATGATGTTTCTATTTTGAATTATGAACGAATTTCTATTACACCTGATGGTGCTAGTGTTATATTAAATGCTTCAGGACTTGAATTATTATTTCTTCCATCTTCTTGTACTTGGGATGTTACTGATGAAACTAACAAAGTATTAATAGACTTCAAGATCTACTTCTGAAGTTCTTGACCCTCAGGTTGGTTATGGGGAGGGATGTCCACATGTTTTTTTAATTTTACCAGTTCTACAGTTTTCTTCTTTTTATGCTATGATTTGTCTTGTTTTGAGTCTTTCTTCTTCTTCTGCATAATTATTAGCTGTTTTTGTTTTCATGATTCTTATAGTTAGAATCAAATATCTAATTTGCAGTCTTCATTAACTGCAGGCGTTATTGACAATGTTTCTATGGCTCTCATGTTTAGCTGTTGTACAGTGCTGCAAGGTGCTGACCTTGAAAGAGCTCTAATTCTCCCATTATTTTGCTTTTGCAGGTCTTTTACCTTAACTGATTTCCTATTCAGGAGAAGCACACCATCAGCAGTTGATTAGAGTTTTAGCTTCTGGTTGTCCTTATTTTTCAAGAGTAATGTTTCTTTGATAGATTGTTGGGGCAGATTATTCATGATGAAACTTAGTTTAAATGGATGACAACTGCCTGTTATAGCAACACAAACGTAGAGGACGATGTTTTAAAAGTCTTACGCTTTTCATCTTCTTAACCTGTTTGTGATTTATTGTGATTCCTCATAAAATTTATGAGGAATTACACTTTCAATGTAATCCATTTCACACTATAACAGTTGTCATGCAGTTTGCTAATATAAATATCATCTGAACAATTGCTATGTTTGTTGTATCTCAGCCAGTCTGAACAGGTCTGGTATTTAGTGAAAGGTCTCATTGGCACTGGATATAGTAGTTATAGTTTGGTTTATGAGTTATTATGTTCTCACTAAGAAGTTTTTACTAATTTAAGATTAACATCAGTTGATTATAAAAAGATTAATTACTCATAAACCTTCAGTGTACATCTCCAAGTATTGTAAAAATTAATGTTTATTATTTTATGTGAAGGTAGAAGAGGAGAGAGACACACTCTACAAAAAATTTGTTTCAGCAATTCAAGATGTTCAGCAAAAAGCTGGCCTGAAAAATTTACTTTTGGAAAAAAAACTTTCATCAATGGAAGAGCTTCTTGAAAAGAAAGAAACTCAGCTGAGTGAGATGTTGGCATCATCAAACCTAGAACCAACTGCTTTAGCAATGATCACAAGGAAGCTTGAGGTAGTTGGGATTTTCATTTTCTTAGCTTTGATAAATATTGTTCCATTGGGAGTGTTTTCAATGTTTTTATTATTTTAATCTGTTATTGTTTTTTGTAGTCTTACATCGATGTATTGCCTGAGAGAAATTATCTATAGCAAGAGGTTTCATATAGAACTGTCATCCAAGGTATTAGTAGAATTGGGAAATAGTTTATAATTTATAAAGTGTTAAGAAGAAAGGCATGTTGTAGTAAATGGCACTTAGCCATTAGAGTAATTTAATACACCAGCTACAGGTGAAAAATGGCTGGAGATACTTTAAGCAAAAGAGTCAGTATTATGCACTGAAATTAAGAGTCATCATAGGATTAGATTTTACACTATACAAAATATAACATATTTAATTTCTCTTATATGCAGGTTTTCTTTGTAAGATCAGGTAATTTCAAAACTTTTCAAAGAAAGATATTTTAATATACCAAATGGTTAGAAATAAATACCAGGCAGTTCAGCTTTATTCAAATACTTTGTTGTTGCAAAGTTCTCTTATAATAGAATATAAAAAAATGTGTTTTCTACAGTAAGAACATTTTTATAATTTCCTAAGATTGGTTGATAGGGATAGTGATGTGATAATGAGTTTGGCTCAGAATCATAGTCATATGAATGAATTAAACACTGAGGCTAGGCCTATAAGTTTGATGCAGATGTACAGAATGTTAATGAATCTCCAGGAAAGAGTTTAGCTTTGATAAAGAAGGAAGCCAAAACAGTCATGATTAGTAGAATTTTGTGATTAGGTAAGAAGTTCTTAGGAAACTTCTATTCTTTTGTAAAGGATTGTGACCTACAGTAACTTGAATATGTTAATAAAGTGTAGATTGCTTTCTCCCTTTCTAAACTTTAAGTTTCTTGGCTAAAGAGAAACTGGTCTTGTTTTGAATACTAAGAAGAAGTAGAACTTCAAAGTGTTTGTTGGGATTCAAGAAATATTGTGCCAATGTGTTTGTTGTAGTCTAATTAGTTGAATAAACCACAAAGTTTTGTTTCATATAAAATCTGAGTCATATATATATATATATATATATTGATCATAGATGAAGGTACTTGAAGCTTGCTAAATAATGAGTGACTTCAAAAGTTTTAGAGATATTTCAACAAAGGTAGAAAAGCTTAATATGAATAGAATGCAAAATATATTTTTCAAGTTGTACAATTTAGTATTTTTAGGTTTCATGTCAGCTTAGTATTTCTAAAGCTTTGGACTGCACTGTCAGGACTAAAGTATTCTTTGCCTGTATAAATGTTTTATAAACCCAGCTAACACTGAGCATACTTTTCAAAAAGTGAGTCCCTAAGCCTGTAATATTTGTAGTAAGTTAATACAATGTTTTTACATGTGTATTCAATAGATAGATCGTATGCCTCATCTTGATTTTGCAAGTTATCTCTTATTGACTAGAATGTTTATGGTAAAATCCTGTTCTACGAAGTAAGCCAAATGAGCTAACTTAATTATTGAAGTTAACTAATCAGCCACTTTTAAGATTATATAATGGTCAATATTTGGTGTTACAGAGGATACTGATGCCCATCAAATACAGTGATCCAGGTAATAAACTTTTAGTGAAGAGTCATGACCTTCAAACTTTGAATGATTTATCTATGAAATGGATTTACATAATTACTCTGTACTAAACATTTAAAGGATAATTAGTGTTTTTTAAATTGTAGCTTTGATGTGGCCCAACACTGTTATTAAATAATGTCAGTAGCATCACTGAGTTTATTTTTATACAAAAAACAAATTGATTATATATTCCAGACTAAAGATAATTTATTAGTACAGTTAATGTTTCAAGCTACCATCTTTCTTCAGAACTAACAATAGGTGGACTTTACAACAGCATGAAGCTTAAACTATAAATGATGTACTATAGTAAGAACATGTAATAATATATGTACAGCCTAATAGTACTGCATTACTTAAAAGTTTTGTGTGATTTAATGAATGAGAAAAAGATTAAGGTTTTGGTAATTGAATTTCATACTGAATTACATGAGGGATTGCTGCACTTATCTTATCCCTAATTTTGAAGTGATGGACTAGAAAGAAGGCAGCTAGTCAATACCATCCACTTCCAACTCTTGGGTTACTCTTTACTAACAAAAAGTGGGATTGACCATCACATTAAAACAACTGTATAGCTGAAAGGGAAAGCATGTTTGGTGATGTATTTCAATCTTGCAAATGGCAGATTGTGAATTAAACACCCTCATCACCAGGTTATACCAGGTTCTATTAAAGTAAGATAAAAAAAAAATATATAGGTTGAACTAAGATAAAATAATGTAAGTAATAGGTAGATAAATGGTAATATTAGTCTTCTAAAAATTGTAAAGTATATGTGCATGTTAAAAGTATTGGAAGAAGAAACATTCATTTAAGCCATTTCGGTGAAGAGTACGTAATTTATGAATTAGTCGATTTTCAATGTGTTCTCTTTTGATGATGTCCGAAGGTGCATACTTGAGCCCCACATACAGAGAAATCATTGAAGACGTGTTCTGGATTACTGAAGTGGCATTCACAAGGATTGTTTTCATTTTTTCTTCTAATCTTACTGAGATGTCCCCAAGGTGTCAGTTTGTTAGTTCCATATAGAGCTGTCCACAACATTTGCATATTATGAAGTAAATGAAATAGCGAGCTGTAAAAGTGAAGGACTAACTTATACGAAAAATGAATTTAGATCCTTATAACTAGATAATACTGCTTACATACTTATTAGTGACACATCTGGTTTGTTCCCAATATTGGGTACCAAATGGGTTCTGAGTATGGTTACTTGGTGTTAATACACTATGTATCAAGAGGTTGCAAATATTAGTGTCATGTCTTTAGAATATTAAAGAGATCACATGTTGGTGGTAGGATCTTCTGTAACTATTTTATAGTTCTCAATAACTACATTCTTAGTTTTTTTGTTGATAGGATGATATGTTGAAACTATAAGAATATGACTTTTGTTACCTCTTAAGTGTGAAGAAAAGATGATTCAAAAGGTTTATTAGCTGCTTTTGAGACAGCATTTGATATTAAAGATAAGCAGTAGCCTCTTGTAGTAAAAAATATCAGTCATTTCCTGTGTTTTGGTAGTAAACCCATCAACTTCATTACATAATCTGTGTAATCCTAGGAATTGAGAGTAAGGGATAGAGTTTTTAGTGAGGAGAAGAATCAAAATATAGGTATGAATGACATTCAGATGCTTTATAATATACTAGCTGAGGTACCCGATGTTGCACGATGAAATTTTAGATTTGAAATGTATAGATCAGTATTTTTTTTCAGCAAATTATTCAGTAAGTAGA